AACGTGACTTGTATTCATCTTTTATTATTGGTATACATTGAGTATTACAATTTTCATAGTTTTCCTTTCTTAAAATGTATATACATTTTTTTGGCACCTTCTGTGCACACACACACACACAGATATTCACACACAAGCAAATGCTGAGGGGAAGGAGGAAAAGACAGAGATAGCTATATTTAGAAAGCCTCTATTTATTTCCCCCCAATCTGACCACCTTCCTCCATGAGTCTTAGCCTTGGGATGTGTCATTGTATTGGTCCAGCGTTGTTTTTCGTAGCTGGGAATTTCATCAGCAATACATGTCTCCGCTGGATGCTCTGCTCCCTGTGGACAAAATGTGCTCTATTTCTTTTTTGGTCCTTCATTCCTCCTTCATGTCCATCCTTCAGTAAACAGCCCTTCAAGGCATGTAAAGATGTGATCATGACGGAAGTTCAGAAAGATGTTTTAGAATGTAGGAGAACTAGAGAAAGCCGTGATTTCCTAGCAGGGCCCCCAATTGCTCCCCATGGTCACCACCCCCAGCACAGCTGCTCTTATAGTGACATTCGGGAGCTCGTTGAAAAGCTCTTAATATATGCAGTGACTCATAGTGTGTTGCTTGGCTCAAAGGAAAACCTGATTAAAGAAAAAAAAAGGGGACATTGACTCTATTTCTACCTGATGTTGTGTCAACTATCAAAGCTACATAGTCTTTTGAGCCCCAGGCCAGAACTTTCCCTCATTTGTAAGTAAAATTGAAAGACAGTCACGAGGGTCATCATGATATAAGCAAACTGTGTTGTCATCTATTGCATTAGTATAAAAACCGTGCGCGTTGAAACCTTTCTTTAGAGAAGGGACTTGGTTCCCCAAGACTTCCTTAAAGTGCCTCTGTCCAGGTCTCTGCTGTCTTCCTTTTCCTCTCCACCATCACTGATGGCAGGAGTGACAGATCATTGATGTCGGAACAATCCCAAAGCCTGTTAAATACCTATACCAATGCTGTTTATAAATTAGTGGGATTAATTAAATGTTTAGAAGATCTAAAACAGTATAGACTATATACCTCCGTGGGATTAATTAAATGTTTAGAAGATCTAAAACAGTATAGACTATATACCTCCATGGTCATCTATAAAATTGAAAATAAATAAGCTTCATTTGCTGTCTAATTGATGATAACAGTGTAAAATGACCACATCTCATTCTTAAGGCAGAGAAGAAATGAGGGGTAAGTGAAGACTAGTGCCTGCTAATTCCTCAGTAAGTATAGTCTCATTTCTAACGACAGTCTGATGTTTTACTGTATCACCCTGATTTCATGTTTTCTCCGATAGTAGTGTTTTGTACTGAAAGCTAGATATCTAGGCATAATATGGAAGTAAACTTTTAATTATCTCAGGACCGACTGAGGCGCTTAGCCCTTATACAGTTTATCAGTTGAGGAAATAGCAGGCAACACTGGTGAAGCTGATAACTTTAGTGTTTGCTCAACGATTAGGCTGCTTAGAGGTCAATGTCAGAAAGAGACAGAAGAACACCCAGAACACGCTGCCATTTTTGGTAATGTGTTCAAGTAGCAACAAAGCTATAAAAAGCTGTATACACCAAGATTATATTTGAAAAACGAAAGTTCAAGTAAACATAAACAATCATAAATTCAACTTCCTGGGAATTCCCCTGATTTCTTGTTCTGAAATTCTGTTGTACGGTTACATATCTTCCAGTTGCAGTCAGTCATGGGTTTCTCTTACCCTGACTTTTCCTATTCTTCTAGAAAACTTATTTAGTAGACCAACTTTTGTGTCACGGTTTGTCAGAGTGGAAAGAACATGGCCCTAGGAGTCAGATACTGCCCAGTACTTTTTGGTTAGTTGATCACTGTCATGAGTAAAAGTGAAAGAGATGATACTTCTTTTTAATTCTCACTTTGTGACAATAATGTGCTCAAAAATTCTAGTACTTAAGCTAATAATAAATTTATCAATACATGCATAGCTTTTACATTGTGGACACACCTATGAAGTGGTTATTATGCATCAGGCATCCTGCATGACTGGGACAGGTTATGGAGAAACATCTCATTTAATTTCCACTGTGTATCTAAATACACATCAGAATTTATATTTTAAAAAATAATTTTGATTGACATTCTCTTTAACTTCATAAAAATGTTACTAGAAATGTTTTGAACTTCTGCGTCATTGATATAAATACTTTTGTGAGGTTATATATATCAGTTCTTGTGGTGATATAGGTTTATGATTACTTTTAGGGAAATGTTTAAAGGTCATATATTTTCACATGCAGAACCTCTCTTACTAACTCTTTATTTTCTTGTGAATACCTGTTAGCCAAAGTCACACCTTGAGCCTGGCCACAATGATCCTGCGTTGTCTAAACCAAGGACCCAACTGGAATTTGGGGCAGAGTGGTTAGTCATGGCAGGCCAGAGGGGTAAATGTTTTGGGCACACAGTTGCTGCTAGGTAAGACTGCCCTTCAGACAAACAATAAATATTTGTAGCAGAGCCTGGAGTCAGGCATTTGGGGTTTGAATCTCAAATAATTCTTTGATTGTTAGTTCAACATTTGTAGAAAAGCATATAATAATACAAATTACCTCAGGAGTTGCTGTGAAGAATAATCATGCTCAATACATATTATTAATAGTATTGATAATTTACATATTACATTATCAATACTATTAATAATATCATTGACAATAATAACAGTATTAGCACTACATCCCACACCTCTTCACTCTGAATCTATTTCATTCACACACACACACATTTTCTGTTACTAACTTAATAGGATACTAACCTATTAAGAAAGGTGATTTATACCTTTCTTATATATAAACAGATATAGCAAAGGTGAATATAACAGCATTTATTTAATACTTGACATTTACAGATCATGTTTCAGAGATATTCTCTCACTTTGATCCTTATCACAACACTAGAAGAAAAATTTCTTGTTATTGCCATTTGAGAAAAAAAGAAAATTAAGGTTCATAGAAGTGACATGATCAGGCTCACAGGACTAATAATTAAGAGCAGAGATGAACACCCACAACTCTGCAAGCATAATACTAAACCATGATACATTCCTTGCTGGTATGTGTAGGAACCGAAGTAATGAAGAAACTAAGAGCAGAAAAAATTTTTTCTCATAAATTTCCATAGTACTGTCAGGACTTAGTCATCAACCGACACTGTAAGATACCAAATGGATTATTATACACTTGCCATATTAAGAGGTTGAGTCCTTTGAAGGCCATCTTCATTGTTTAGTCTGTCGTGATGATGTTATTTCATCAACGATATAACAGTTTTTGTTTTAATGAGCTCCTTTGATGCCACACCAGAGGTAAAAAAAACTTTTACAGAGGTGGCAAGCAGTTGACAAAAGGAAGCAGTTTTCTCTAACTAGAACAGTTCTTATGTAGTTTGTGCATCACGTGGGCAGAAAGGAATGCCATTCTTCAAACACTGGGCTTGCTTCTAAGTGAAATGTTTTCCATTTTTTACCTATAGCATTAGTAGAAACAAGCTAATATTATAACTAAAATTTTAGGGGATATGATACCAACTAAGTATGTTAACATTACTACATTCTACCTAGGTAAGAATTCCAGATCCCTTCAATGGAATCTGCCTTAGCTAGCAGCCTCTGGGTGTAGTCCATCATTATACAGATGCCTAACAGTTTCACATATTATTGGATAAATTAGAATTCTCAAATGGGGAACGGAGAGAAAAAAATATTCTACTGAAGCATAAGGATGTTAGTTTTAATTGCAGATATTTACTCACTAGCGTCAGAACCAAGGACACTTTGCTTAATCTCTTCTTATATCCTCAGCTTCCATCTTCAGAAAAAGGGGTTGATAAAACTTCTGTATTTTATAGAGCTGTTACTATTAAGTGAGAGAACATATGTTTGAGAGTCCTAAGATGGTGGTTTGTTGTTGTTTTTTAGTTGAAAATGTAACGCATGCTCGTGGTAAACAAGAATAAGGAAGAAGAGGGAGGGAAAAACAAACTAACAAACAAATAATATGAGAAGTCGAGGGAGAATTATTTAGCTCTGTTATTGTAATGTTTTGGAATAATAATAATTACTATTAGTAGTAAGAACCAGATGACCGTGGACAAATCATTTACTGTTAGTTTCTTAATCTATAAAAGAAGGAATCAAACTATTTTTTAACATACATATTATATTTACACATTCTCCAGAGCAATATTTACACATTCTCCAGAGCAAGTCACCAAAAAGCTTCTTAAAACTAAAACATAATTCTATATTTTATTAATTATAAAATTGAATAAATTAAAATGTGAAAAAGGACACTCACAAAATAAAAGTGTGGTATTTTCCAAATCTTATTAAAATGAACACTGTGTGAAATAGATACACATAATTCAATTTCCAAAATGTCCATGAATTTAATGAAGAGACAAAAGCAAGTGAGAATTCTGACCTTACAGTTATGTTAGCTAATAAGGTGATTGAAATAATGATTGAATTTGTTCAAATTCATTTGTGAAATTAATTTGTTCAAATAAGTTACATGAATAAACAATTATATATTGAATAATGACCCACAAGTGTTGTTAAGGAAAAGTGCTATTGAAACACTTACACTGTGTAGGTAAATAAGGGTTGAATTAATGTTACTTTTTAATCCTGTATTAACTCAGCAAACCTTTTTTTGAGCCCCAGTGATGTTTCAGGCAGTGAGCAGATGATAGAGCAACAATGACTCAGTAAAAATTCACTGTTTTTCTAGTGAAGGAAGAAAATACATAGATGGATGCATCAGTGGACTATGGGTCATAGGTATGGATAGAGGAGCTACAAAAATGGAAACCTGAAAGGATACTAACTGCATAAAACAAGTGCTCACCCCCTCTAGTAATCAGAGAACTACTAATGAAAACAAGGGATTGGTAAATATTAAGGAACTGCATAATTGTTTGAAGGGTATTGAGAAATAGGACTGGCCTGATCAGAGTCCTAGGTCTGCTGCAGCCATCCTGGAAAATCATCATGGCGGGAGCCAAAAGAATGCTTGCACCCACATCTTGATCCAGTGGGCTCACTCCTGGGCACATACGATAGGGAAATTTATACTCAAGCCCACGATACAATGTGAACATTGTAATTTCAGCACCATTTTAAGCAACCTGTATGTCCATCACTAGAGAAATGTGTAAGAAAAAGTCACGATTTGCAGACTTTTTGAAACATTTTTACATTTGAAATAGGTAAAGCAGCATAAAAAAACATAGTATCAAGTGAAAAATAAAAAACAACAAAAGCTAGACCACAGTATTGTTTAGGAAATTAAGACCATGGGGGGGGGGGAGCGGGGGAGCGTTACATTTTCCAGAGTTGCATATCTAGCCAAAGAAACCGTCTAAGCAAGTTCTAAAGGAGAAAAGGGGGAATGAGATGTGAGAATTAAACATGAAAGGAAGGAAAATATTGATAAAAATAAGACAAAGGCGTTGCAGAAACTAGTTATAGTCTGAGGAGAATGATTAACTCAGCTTTACACTTGACATTCAAATAACTGTAAGCCAAATTAACAATGATTAAGAATAACAGAATAGAATAAAATGAGATGAGGCTTGCGATGGAAGCAGAGCTGGGAAAAAAATCAGCTAGGCCAAGAGCTATCAAAAGGGTTCCCTGGAGTTGATGCCTGAAAGGTGACCATGTAGGATGAAGGATGTGGGGGAGATCCTTTTAAGGTAGGAGACATGAATGTAAAATGGCATGAAGTCATCCCACACGAGCTTGTGTTTGGACAACTGCATGTAATTCTCTTGAATGTGAGCTATTTAGGGAAGTGCCTAAGATACTTCTGGAAATATGCAATAGGGCAAGATTATAAACATTACCGAGGGCTTAATTATGTCTAGGATAATAAAAGTAGACAGGGCCCAACATAAGGAAACGGGAGTGAAAATGGGAACAAGGTATAAATGCCAAAAGTTTCAGAGATAGCATTAACAGGTCAAAACAGAATGCGGAAATTTTGGGTCGAAAATATTCCATTTCATCAAAAATACGCTCCTAATGAAACTTTTCAACATTTCTCCATGACTTATAGGCTAATTTCAACTTCCTATGTCTTCCATAAGGACTTGATGATAAGACCTCTATACATGTCTCTAGCTTGGTGTGTAAACTTATTATGTCATGTTTTAATAAAACCAAACTCCTCCTAATACCCAGTGAGGAATCCAAGATTAAAGAAGTCTCCCCCGGCCCTAAATTTAATAAATTTAATACACAAGAGACACTGGGAATGTTTGTGGGATGGATGAGGACCAAACCAACAGAGAGGTTGTGCTGAGTTCAGAATGGACCAAATTTTGAGAGATAAGAGAAGCTTTAGAGGTGTTTCCTAACATAGCTTACAGGCTCTGAATGAAAAAGGAGGCCTGGAGAAATCAGGTAACTTCCTATCATGTGCTATTACACACACCGTGTCCCAATTTTTATTTTTGTGTTTTTTTCTATGCAAATATTTCAAATAATTATGTAGTACTTCCACATCCTTTTTCATCTGGCTTCTGAGTTTTGGGTTTTATTTGTTAAAGCCAAACCTCTCCTAAACTAGTAAGTTTTTTAAAAAAAATACTTGAAGATAACTTGCTCTTTTGCTTAGGCCTTTTGTTTAAATGTTATTTGTTCTGTGTGAAGATGCCTAGCAAATTATTTTTTACATAGATTTCAAGGGATAACCACTGCCCCACCTGTATCTCATATTCTTATTTTGTAATTAGTGGGGTCTGAATTAATAGAGATTTCTAAATTTTGAAATAGTAATAATTTTTCAACAATTCTTTCGGATACACATGACTAACATCGATTTTGTCAACTTGGGCTAGAAAATTTCAGATGCTCTGTCTCCAGACCTGTGTCAAAGCTCATGATGCACTCTTAACTTTCTTTCCTAGAACTCTAGTATACTTTTTTCCTGATGAAAGATCACTCGATTATCATCAAACTTTGGTGGTATTATCTGAAAAATGGTGATTATGTCTTTACTTAATAAACACAACAGGGTTGGGCAACAGAAATAACACTCGGGTTAAATAATTGCTTCTTAACCCACCCATCACTGCCACCAGCACATATCCCTCTCATAGGAGGGGACCTTGCCTTAACCATCACTGAATACCCTGGATATAGCACAATACCTAATACAGAGAAGTTACTCAGTAGGTATGTGAGGGCAAAGTGAACGAAAGCATGATTGAACAAACTAAAGTTCCATAGTCTTACCTCTATCATTGATTTGATATGTGTATAAACCCCTTAATCTTTCTGGGCTTCAATTCCTTCTTCTGCTAAACAAATATAAATCCTAGCCTGATTACCAACAGGAAGAACGGGAAGATAATAGACTTGGTAGTAATATGAAAAAGAAAACATTCAGAAAATTGACACAATCATATCAATAATAACTTCTGAAAGATGTGGAATATTGGAAATGCTAATTATGTGATACTGACTACAAGTGTAAAACAGAGGTCAGAGAAAAATAATACTCCTTGGGTGGATTGGCTAATAAAGTATTATTTTAGTTATCAGTATTATGAAAACAGTTTAGAGCTACCAGGTGAAAAGGTGTTACTGACTATAAAAGTCACAACTCAATATTATAAAGTTTTATGCTTTCTTCCATAATTTTGTCCTCCCATTAATTTTTTTATCCATACCAGAAACTTCTCGATGCTCTGAAAACTTTTATGTATAATTTTGGTTCATTTAGTTTAATTCATAAACATTATGCTCAATTTAACTGATTGATGATAGTAGAGATAGATGGACAGAAAGATATTGTCATGTTCAAAACATCATCAGGTTTTAACTACTTTGCCACCCTGAAAGGATCTTTTGAATAATTCTTTTCATTGGGCACGTAGGCACAATAAACATATAAAAGAAGCAAAGAAGATTTGGGGGCAGAGGGAAATGTGGTTCAAAAGGAAGAAATCTGATCTACTTTAAAGCACTCTTTATATTTATTCTATTCTATCTCCCTGCAGGTGTAAATGTGTATTTGGCTCCTTGGCTACTGACTAGAGGACACAAAATGAATAACTCAACAAACTCCTCTGACAGTGGCCTGGCTCTGACCAGTCCTTATAAGACATTTGAGGTGGTGTTCATTGTGCTGGTGGCCGGATCCCTGAGTTTAGTGACTATTATAGGGAACATCCTGGTCATGGTCTCTATTAAAGTCAATCGCCACCTCCAGACCGTCAACAATTACTTCCTGTTCAGCTTGGCCTGTGCTGACCTCATCATTGGCGTGTTTTCCATGAACCTGTACACCCTCTACACTGTGATTGGCTACTGGCCCTTGGGACCCGTGGTGTGCGACCTGTGGCTGGCCCTGGACTACGTGGTCAGCAATGCCTCAGTGATGAACCTGCTCATCATCAGCTTCGACAGGTACTTCTGCGTCACCAAACCACTCACCTACCCTGTCAAGCGGACCACCAAAATGGCAGGCATGATGATCGCCGCGGCCTGGGTCCTGTCCTTCATCCTCTGGGCTCCGGCCATTCTCTTCTGGCAGTTCATTGTGGGGGTGAGAACTGTGAAAGATGGGGAATGCTACATTCAGTTTTTCTCCAATGCTGCTGTCACCTTTGGTACTGCCATCGCCGCCTTCTACTTACCTGTGATCATCATGACTGTGTTATACTGGCACATCTCCCGGGCCAGCAAGAGCAGGATAAAGAAGGACAAGAAGGAGCCTGTGGCCAACCAAGATCCAGTGTCCCCGAGTCTGGTACAAGGCAGGATTGTGAAACCAAACAACAACAACGTGTCTGGCGCTGACGACGGCCTGGAACACAACAAACTTCAGAATGGCAAAACCCCACGAGATGCCGTGACTGAAAACTGTATCCAGGGCGAGGAGAAAGAGAGCTCCAACGATTCCACCTCAGTCAGTGCTGTCGCCTCTAATCTGAGAGATGATGAAATCACCCTGGATGAAAACACAGTTTCCACATCCCTGGGCTATTCCAGAGATGAGAACTCTAAGCAAACGTGCATCAAAGTTGTCACCAAGACCCAGAAAGGTGACTTGTGTGCCCCTACTAACACCACCGTGGAGCTAGTTGGTGCTTCACGACAGGACGGAGATGAGAAGCAGAACACTGTAGCTCGCAAGATTGTGAAGATGACGAAGCAGCCTGCTAAGAAGAAGCCCCCTCCTTCCCGGGAAAAGAAGGTGACCCGGACAATCTTGGCTATTCTGTTGGCTTTCATCATCACGTGGGCCCCATACAACGTCATGGTGCTTATTAACACCTTCTGCGCACCTTGCATTCCCAACACGGTGTGGACAATTGGTTACTGGCTGTGTTACATCAACAGCACCATCAACCCTGCCTGCTATGCACTCTGCAATGCCACCTTCAAGAAGACCTTCAAACACCTTCTCATGTGTCATTACAAGAACATAGGCGCTACCAGGTAAAGCGTCTTTGGGAAGAAGGAAGGTCGTCAAGAGTAGGAAGAAGAGGGACAAAAGAGCTAGTTTTAAAAAATCTCTGCCATTGCACTTTATAGTCTTATTATGGACGTGCAGTTCAGGAGCCCGACAGTGACACTCATGGTGCCTATGCTCCAGTTTGAGAAGCTTGCACCTTATAAACCCTGCCTATATGGGAGCAGCGAGACCATGAAAGAGACACATTGGAATTGTGGATTGAAGGAATGACCCACGTTTTCTCATCGTCTCTTGAAGAAGGGCTTCTGAGTCTACAATTTTATCAGTCTCTGCACAATAAGAAAAACCACCTCCTTCCTTTTTTTTTTGTTTGTTCCCATGTGTTTATATAAGGATGAAAGGCCATAGTTACAAGCTAACATGGACACTGAAACATAAAGACACATTGTACAACGGGGAAGTGAAGAAAGAAAAACGGATACAGAAACGGTCTCCAGAGTGTTCAGCATATATTATTCTTTTGTTATGGTTTTATTAGGAGGCTTGCAATGTAATAAAGGCCTTTTTTTTTTTTTTTTACCATCACCATGTACCCACCATCAAAAGAAAGCAAACAAACACAACAAACCCAACTGGGTCACATCATTATTTTTCTCCTATGGCATTTGTTTTTGTACTTCCCGCATCTACACTGTGTAAGGGCATATTCTACAGGACTTTCACTAAACTCCAACCAGAGACAGCCCTAAAAATGGGCATTTCTCCCCTGCCCACTGTGTCCTTTGCATCCTTTGAGGGTATAAAATCCTGTAAGGATGAAGTTCACTTACGATCCTCTATGTGAAATGTTTTCACCAATCTGGTTTTCTCCTAAAATAGCCTCTTATTTTCATAGAATAGCCCCCCTAACTCCTAAACACGCTGGAGGAGCCCAAGTGATTTTTTTTTTTAATTGAGATTTCACAAGCTCAATAATGGTCATTCCAGTGGGAGAAAGTTTATGGAGGCCAGACAAGTAGTGAGATAAGATCATGGAAGATTGAAAGGGCAGTGTGTTTCAACCCAAAGCTGCCTGACCCATGTCTGAAATGCTAACTTGTTAAACATGAACTCCTGGCCTTTGTCAGCAGGAAAAAGATGCCATTTTTTTTCTTTTGGAATTCTAAATAGGATTAAGGTACTCACATGGCACCAATGACTTCTGAGTCAGCCTCAAGAAATGAAGACTTTTTCTTCAGTGCCTTCTGAAGGCTGATATTCAATATCTAGTCAAGTGAGCTTGTTTATGACCATCCTGTGACCCAGTGGAGGAAAAAAAAATAGTCACCAGAAACACACGTTACATATTCTTCAAATTGTCGATTCTCCCTAAGATTTTTTTAACTTCAAAATTCTATCAATAGAAGTAGAGTAATCTTTGTGACAGAAATATAGTGGATAACCAAACAGAGACCAGGTGAGTTCAGCAGAATCCAAAAGAAGAATGTAAGTGACTGTACCTGTGTCACTTCCCACAATTTCTCTAATTCTACACCATAAAAAAGTCATATCAGGAGTTAATAAAGAATCTTGTCCATGTAGAAACTTTTTATTTAGTACCCTCAAATAAATATATGATTATATTCACATTTAAGTAGTTATTTTTATTCACCATTTGTTTTTATACTATATTTGCTATAATGTTCCAATCAAATTTTCTAAAGATGATCCAATCAGTAGAAATCAAACTTATAAAAGCCTTTTCAAATTTCACATTTTGCCTTTTAGATTTATGGACTTGATGATATCTTGACCAGTAATATCTATGTGAGCTGCATGATGAATTTGTCAGTATTAGAGCTTAGCACTTTAGAGGTATTTTTCTGTGACTTACCTTATTGATGGCACCTCAATGATTTTGAGAGTTAAAAAAAAAAAAAAGCACAACATAACAACAAAAGAACAGCCAGTAAGAAGCAAATGGCCAACACTTATAAGTTACCCTTTACAAAAATAACTTCCTGTTTTAATACCTTCAGTCGTTTCCCCCCCCCCCCAAATTTTCTATGTATAAACATATAGCATCAGGTCATATAGAGTCCTTCACTCTACAATTACATCAGTGTCAACTTTTACATTTTAAATCCATATTTATTTTTATTTTATTTTTTCAAATTGACCTATAAATTAAGTGGAAGGAACATCAAGCCATGGGGTGTTTGGGCCCCTGTCATCAAAACAATTGACTGGCTGAATATTTCACTTATTAGCCTGCTGTACTATTATGATATAGATTCAGCTTTAGTCAGGATGAATTCTTTGGATTCACAGGCTCTGGATTCAGGTCTCTTTTTGTCTCTGCCCTAACAATCCAACTCACCTTGAGTCAGATGCCTGTTACTCCTCATTGTCATTGCAATCTTACCTTTTATTTTTGCTCTTCACCGTGGCCACCACAACCTTATCGAAACAGAAACCATCAAGTATTAAAGAAAGGAATTGAAGATAGACTGACACATCATGGAAGCTTTGTCAACCGGAATCAAACAATGGAAAGAGTACTGAAAACGGTAGATGATTAGAAAGATATGGAGACTGCATCAGAAGGTGTGCATTGACTACTGCTGGATTTGTCTATTTCAGTGGCTCTCAACCAGGGATGATGATCTTGCCCAGGGGACATTTAACAATGCGTGGAGACATTTTTCGTTGTCACAACTCGGGGCAGGGCTATTGGCATCTAGTGGATAGAGGCCAGGGATGGCCTCTAAACAGATTACAATGCACAGGATAGTTCCCCAACCCCTCCCCATCCCCTGCCAACTAAAAATTATTTGGCTCAAAATGTCAGTAGTGCCAAAAGTGGGAAACCTGGGTGTATTTTAAGGGATTCTAGAGCTTGCTTTGTATAAGTGGGGGAGTAACCCTGTATCACTATTAGAATATCAATGCCAATTACTCACCTGTTTCAAAAAAGGTAATGCTCACCAATTGTGCATCCGACACTCTGACATCATCCACTAAGTCTGGTGGAATTGCCATTCGTAGATTGGGAAAACAGGCCACATCTACATATCCAAAATCATCAGCCCAGGCACACAGTACACTGTTTCCAACATCCTAATGTCACATTATGATTGCCACAGAGTCCAGTCAACTGAGGTTCCAGGAGTTGCTGCTAAAATGGTTGTGGTTGATGTGGTCAGTTTCTATGGAAGCTGACATTGATCCTTTCAAAAACAATATGATTCATCTCCTTTCACTGGCAAGGTGAATATCTGTCAAGAATTTCTTCTCTCCTCATAGCAATAATGTAAATATCACAGGGTGGTCTTATAAGAAGAGGAGATCAAGAATACGAAAACGCCAGGTCATTTCTTCAAATAAGAAATGATTGCCCTGTCTCAGTTCACCATTAACTTAACAGATCCCAAGGGTTAGGACAAAGTCACCAGTATCGTTAGTCCCCGGGGATGAGCTTTCCAGTTTGGATTTGGAAGCCGGAGGTCCCCCATACTCCTGATCTTTGGCCACTCACTGCTTTCTGCATCGTGAGGGTCCGACACTAGGGGAGATGGCAGTTCAAACTGATGACAACATACCCTTAGAAAAGCAATCTACTTTTATTTTCTCCTACTTAGTTCATGGATAGTGGCCTTTCCCCCATTTTGATAACATCCCTTTCAACAACCACAGCACCGGTGTTGCAAATAGATTAGGGAAGCACCCAAAGCTGGATGAATTGTGCAAAGTGTATTTTCAGCATGTATATACAATACCCTGCCTCCTTAATATGCTTCTCTTACAAGGGTGCACGCTGCAGCATGAACTGTGTGCATATTAAATGTATCTTCCCAGAATCGGCTGTATGCTTACTATACATATTCTATAAATAAAGTTAATGAAATGTATAATAGGAATACATATTTCTGTATACAAATAAATATATTATACACAAAATCTTCATATGCAGTTTATGTTGCTTCAGAGTAACAAGAATATATTTTCCACGCCCAGCTTTCAAAGAAAGCAGTGTTTGCTTTTGAAGGAAGAGGTTTAAGAGTAACCCAAATCCTGCCCATATTACTATTAAACTGTTTTATACTCTTTGGAAGCATGGCACTCATTTTAAATACCTCGTGAAGGAATATATTAATAAAGCTTGGCTGGTGTCACCCCCATGTGACAACAATACTTGTTTGCTCCTGCACGTCTGACATTCCCCTGACTAGAACCTTCCTGGCCATTACTGTTCCAACAGCTGTGTTGATCTCACGTCTGATTGCCTGATGAGATTGCAGCCAATTCATTGACATCCAGCTTTCGTTCTCCTCCAAATTAACTGATTTTTGTCAAATAAAAAATAATCACACTTGGAGGAAAGGCTGACCTTCAGAATGTTTTTCATTCTGAAACACAGGGTAAAAAATCGTGCAAACACGGTATTTTATAAACCACTTTTTTTCTTTCAGTTTTGGGGTCCAATACAGCATCCCTTCCATTAAATATCCATCACTTTTAGTGTAGTATGATGTTGCAAGTTCCAAGAAATTGCAAAATATGTGTTTTGTTTCTGAGCATCCTACATTTTCTCCACAGCAATTGTCTACCTTTGTTGGCCACTCAATTGTTCACATTCCCCAGATCATTTTCTTTGGCCCATTAGCATGAGTTCTTGGTTAGCAAATATTGTTATGATATGAGCTGATATTGGGCGTGCAATCCCAAGAGACGTTTGCATTGTAATAAAGTCATAAACACTGAACATTTGAAAGATTCCTATTAGTCTTTAGATACAAAGGCATGCAGTGGGAGGGATGTTTTTCAGTGAATTCTAATTTCTTCAAATTTTATGACATGTTCCAGTGCTATTCACTTCTTCAATTTCTCCTCCTATGCCACAATCCACCCTTGTGAACTGCTCTCCCTTACTTGAACAAAAGTTATTTCTAGAAAAAAACAACGAAAGAAAAAATTGAGTTTTCTATCAATTCTCATTCGTTTTTATTGTTCTAGTGAAATGTTTTCATTTCATTTTCTGGAATTTGAATTGAGTACTGTATCGATGAATTGTTGCCTGCTATTCCTGACTAGGTGGTTGCATATACTGAGACAGGAAAAACATCTTGCCATCATAAAGGAAGCATTCTCTACTTTATAACATGTGTCCATCTTTCTCAGCCAAAAATGGAAGAAGCAAAAAGTGGTACGTTGTGGAATGTAGTTATTTATTAAATAGGTGACATTCTAGAAAGTCAGTTCTTTGGCTTCTTAAATACTCACTCACAATAAGTCATGGGAAACAGAACGGAAAAAAAAAAGGCAACCATCTTCTGTATTTGCACCATATAAACTGCAGTTCATCTGAAGCCTTAAACTGTATCTTGACTGAAAATGTGGATATCTTTGGAGGTTTTGTCAAAGGATTTTTAAAAAATGAGTATCCTATTTTTAATCTTTCAAAGGAAACTCCAGATAGGGGCTGCACCAAATTGCAATCCCACCAATAGTGCAGGAGGGTTCCCTTTTCTCCACATCCTCACCAACACTTGCTGTTTGTTGATTTATTGATGATAGCCATTCTGACAGGAGTAAGGTGGTATCTCATTGTGGCTTTAATTTTCATTTCTCTGATTAGTGACGTTAAACATCTTTTCATATGCCTATTGGCCATCTGCATGTCCTCTTTGGAGAAATGCCTGGTCAGGTCCTCTGCCCTTTTTTTTTTTTTTTTTTAGCTGAGCCATCCTGCCACCTGTTGGCAGCTCAGCTTGGGCTGGGAATCAAACTGCTATTGCTCAGAGCTCGCACCCTTGAGCGAGCTCTTAACCAACTGAACCATTCGGCTGGCCCCCATTTTTTTTTTAATTGGATTGTGTATTTAGTGTTTAGTTGTATGAGTTCTTTATATATTTTGGTTATTAACTTCTTATTGGATGTATCATTGGCAAGTAAGTATCTTCTCCTATTTAATTCCACTGTTGGGTATAACCTTCCTATCGCTTCCAGAATTTATAACCCTGCTAGAGAGGACATTGAACTCTTGGGTCAGTTAATTGGTATTGAAGAAAACCTTCCACTGTCTACTCTTTGTGCTGTGGTCAGTAAACTGCAGAATTTTCCGATAGCTGTTAGGATCATATGAGTTTTAGCTTAGTATCTGCCACCAATCCATCCCAGTCACCTGAAGGCCACCTCTTTAGAGCATGATAGTGATTACATGGGATCTTGGGAAGAAAAACTGCTTGGATTGGAAAAATCTATCATAACACCTAGGAAACACATTTACAAGTACAAACCATCACTATGGGGACCCCCCCCAACACTATGCAACTATACACTATGGTGCTTTTAATATGAACATGACTATCTAGAAAGCTGAGGAGAAGACAAAAATGATGCTTACCTTCTGAAATCCCTCTCAGACATGGTATAGAAACATAGGATTGATACTTACTCTGAATATGCAAGAGACAATCAAATGGTCCAAATGTCTGGGATCCTAAATTAATAAACAAGAAGTCAGGCACGCATGTCCCATCTTGCTTAAAAGTAAGGAAAAGTAAGATTACCAACCAGGTTATTTTCATTTCTCTTGGGATTCTCACTATTACAGTTTATTAGTAAAGAAGTACAGAGGGCATATAAGAACTAGATATTAAATGGCTGGGTGGAACCATTTTATTTTTTTTCTCACCCTGTTGGGTAACTAAACCTACATAAAAAAATAAAATCTCAACAACTTTGTATTTAAGCAGAAAAAAAATAACCATAAAGAATAAAATTAAGAATGAAACAGGAGCAATAAAAATATGACATCCCAGTGAGGGAAAATAACAATTTATCCCTAAGCTCTCTGAAAAGAATAACGATGAATATTTAATTGATCTACTTTTTTTCATCCAAGTTCTTTGCATTTCATTTTTGTATGTTTCCTTTCTTCATTTCTTTTTAATATTTTGCTAAGGTCTTCACTGATGTTTTAAAAGAAGTTTTTATAAATGTTTTGAGAGGCAAACATAAAAATTGTTCTTTTCCTAGAGATTGTTAAAAAAAAAATTTAGTGAATGTTGCTACTCCAGAAAGAAAGAAAAGAAAAAAACTAACTGCTTATGCTACGTATGCTTTAAATATGAAAACAAAAACCACAGCAAAAATATGGACAAAGGATAGAATTATAGCTTTAAATGCAAAAATAATTCTGTGTAATTCTGTGTAATTCCATATGTAATCATTTCTGAACATCATGACGTTTATGACTTCTGCGGTCACACAGCTATTCACAATATGGTGGACACTGGCCCTCAGTCTCCCTGACGAGAGTTCTGGACGTATCAACGTGCTGTTTTCAACCAGGCTCCCATCACCAACTAGGAGCTTGTCATAATTAACCACCAGGCCCATGTCAGGAAGTTCAAGCCCACCCAGCCCTTTGTTGAACATGGAGGGTATGAGAAACTACATTATCACAAGCCTGGGAGAAGTGAGGAGAAATACAATTATTGATAAAGTTTCAGACATGGTAAAAAAGGGAGCCAAAGTTCATGCTCAGTGTGCACATTTATATTATTTAGGTAGCAAATTTTAACAAATAATATAGCACTCTTTGACCATGGACAGGTTAAATATGTAACTGACAAATTACAATTACACGGTTATGTCTGCTCTAATTCCTATGAGCCTGTCATGACAAAGGAACCTGGTAACATTCTTGTTTCCATTGTCTTGCTTTTGATTTAAGAGTAACAAATAGAATGTCCATTTGAGAGAAACATACACATAGTATAGAGTCCCAGTCTTTTTAAAATCCTATATTAAAAGACAGTTCCTTACACGTATATGAATTCCAAAACACATAGTGAGATTATTTAATTAAGGATATTTCAGAATAACTGAATAACTTCAGAATAACTGAAGACTGTATATTCTTAAAGAAAACCTTTCATAGCCTATAAATTGTATGAGTGTACTTTTTGATAGGGTCTGTAAAAATAATCCAGTTTATGCATAAATGGGATTAGAGATACACATATTATTACTATAAATTACATATATTTATACAAGTCTATGTAATTTATATACTTTTTTTTTATAAAAGGACAAGAACACGTCCAAAGAGACGGTAGTAGGAATTTAATGGAAAGTGATTCACAAATACAAGGAATGGGGTACGTACCAATGGAAAATATTGCACATACCAGAGGAGTCTTGGCTTCAGTGTTGATGACGCATGCTTGCAAAGACATCCCAACTTCCAAATTCAGTGGGGAGGAAACGGTGGTGCCAAATGCCGGAAATACTTGGAAGATGATGGTAATTACATGCCGTGTCCTTGGATGTCTTTGGGCCAAGCTGTATTCCTAAATGAAGCATGATACCAGTCAGAAAAGTCAACAATAAAATGCTTTTCATATGACTCATCATGCTTAGAACACTTTTGTGAGCACCTTGGAAATGGGGCTCTAGGTACTCCCAAGATAAAGTACTAATTTCAACGCAAGTTAGTGGGGGCTCCAGCTCTACCCTTGAAAACTCTCATTTCACTTTGTCTACCGGATGAAAACTGCTCTGGAGTATCCTTTCTATCCTCTGCTCTCTTATTTCCCAAATATCTAAAGTCTCAGAGAGAGGGATTACAAATTTGCTCAGGTTTCTAGAAGTACTTGGTGGGTGAGGCATGTAGGGAAGTTTTCTTCTTTTTTGTGTGTGCTTTCCCCAAATAATATGCTTTGAGATATTGATCCGGAATTCATTTCCTTCTTCCAGACAAGGAGAAGCAAATCAAAACCCACACAGACTAATACCAAATGTTCTCAAGTGTACATAGGCCTGGAGGTATAATGGTGAGTGGACTTAGAGACGACCACGTTCTTGCCAGGGAGGCAGTGCCAATCCCAGGTTTAGGAAAGGATCCATTCAGACATATTCAATACCAAGCTTATGGTAAACTCCTTGGAATCTCAGGGTTGGTCAAAACATCATTTCCCAACCATTTTCATCTCCATCTGAAAACAGCAATTCTCTATGGCCTCCCTAATTGCCCGAAGGAGTTAGCTGCAGCCTTCCCAGAAATGGGCAGTTCAGGTTACTCAAAGCTTCATACTCAGCTCTCTCTCATCTCATGTTCTCTCCTGATGGGATCTCATCCATAACTTCAGTTTTTATTACCATCTTAAATGTGGTCAGACATAAATATTATCTCCATCTCAATCTTCTCTACCGAACACCAAACCTGTCTAACTACCTCAGAGCCCCACTGGGAAATTTCAAACGTACCTCAAACTCGCCATGTATAAAAACGTACATTCACGATGTTACCCACCAAATCGACCCTATTCTGCTATTTCTTAACCCAACATCCACTCAGTTACACAAAATGGAAACCATGGCATTGTCCTTGACTTTCTCCCTTAATCACACCTCAAGGCATCCCAATCTTACCTCATAAATATCAAGTCTGTCAAATTGATCGACTTCTCCTATTTCTACGAATGCCACTACATAATGCAAGTGGCCTAACTGATCTTGCCACATCAACCCGGGCCCCATCCCATCTGTCTCATACTCTGCAGTCAGCGTGGTTTTTTAGAAGACAAATCTGAGCATGTCACTCCCCTGCTTAAAACCTATTAGTGAGTCCCTCTTTCGATAACATCCAGGCTCCTTCATGCGACCTACATGCCCTATCTTTGCTGAGACCCTCCCATTTCTCCCTCCTCGCCTTTCACCAGGCTCCCAGGTGATTTCATTGCTCTTGCCACATTGCCACAAGTCACATTTGCCCTCATCACACCCTCTTCTGCCAAAGACATTTGTACACGCACTTGCAACAACTCTGCCTGGAAACCTCTTTCACCATTTATTACCTGGCTCTCTCAGGTAATATGGCATTTTCAGGAAAGTCCCCCCTGACTTTTCTAACTACATTCAGTCCTCCATGATGGCACCCATTGCATTTTTCACAATTGCAATTTTATGTACATTTGTAGGATGGTTCATATGTTTGTCTCTGCCTGTAGATGGTAAGCTTTATAAGTTACAAAGACCAAGTCTGCATTTGTCCACCTGAGACAGTGTCTGATACATAGTCACTGTTGTCCCTCTCTCTCTAATTTTTTTTCCCACTTACTAGTTATTTGACCTTGAGAAAGTCATTTAATTTCTTCATATTAAATATAATCTATATTTATATACTGGGGGTGCCAAAAAAATGAATACACATGACTTGTATTCATCTTTTGTTATCAATATATTTTAAGCACACAATTTTAATAGTTTTTCTTTCTTAAAATGTGTATACATTTTTTGGCACCTTCTGTATACATGGTATTGCTATAAATTTTATATATATTTATGTAAGCAATATTTTGAGGATGAGAAACAACTACATAGAACTTGAGAAGTTCCTAGCAGAATGCCTGACAAAGAGGTGCTCAATAAAAGCTGTATATTTATAACACTTATTATAGTGGAAGACTCTAATAGAAAATAAAGGTTCTCGGGTTTCTCAAACTGTGCTTTTCAGAGCCCTAAGTATCCCGTCAGCCCAGACAGTGCTTTACTGAAACAACTGAGACTCCTGACACCCAGAGCCACTTCCTCTGAGCTGAGAATTAACTTCAAAACACCTGGGATGCAATTATTCTTTCTTTTAGTGACATAGTTCAAATTCTTTAATTTAGTTTTTTATTTCAGACATATCACTGTAATAAGATTATTGGCATCTTGCATGGAGATAGCTCATTTTATATGCCAGGCATCTTATTACTCAGATCTGGCCATACTCATATGAGAAGTTGTTTTTATATCCATTTTATATGAGAAATTGGAGCCTCTGTGAGACCAATTAATTTCCCAAGATCACAGCTGGTATGTGTACAGCCAGGACTCAAATCCTACAAGTAGTTTATCACAAGCAGGAAGCATGTAGAAACAGTTTTCCCTGGTTTCCCGGGTGCAGGCCTGGTTTACACTGGCTGACCTGATGTAATTAATTATACTCACCCGTCCCCCTCCCCCCCCCAAAAAAAAAAATATATATATAGTTGTCCAGCTCTTAGGAATTCATAGCTTTTGATAAGGCAGAACATTTTTTTCCTTAAACCCTCCCAAGTTTCTTATAAATATTGAAATTTTTGGAACTTCTATTAAGATACTCTGACATTAGCCTTCAAACCGTTTCCACTAACCTCAGACAAAACACTGAAACCATCAGTGGAACAAAATGCCCTGTCATCAAATGCCTACTGACATTTTCAATGAACTTGACACATTTCACCCAAGCTAATTCTTATACCTACTCTTAGAAGTAGTTACCATTAGCCCTCTTTTCAGATGAAGAATATATGACTTACAAGGTTAAATGACTTGGCCTTTACCAATTTGATTGCCTGTAAATAAGAAAATAAATTGCTCTTTCACATTTAAAAGAGCACATTGAGGCCGTAGAAAATGAAGAGACATAGATTTCATAAGTGCTTACAGTAGATGATATGGCATATTCCTTCCCTGAGAAGTTCAAGTTTGTAAGGAAACTTTTAAGGGCTACGCTCAGGTATGAGTCAAGATTTTGAGATATTGTCCAGGGTGAGCGGATGCTACTGGTCACGTCAGTACTCACCAGTTGGCTATGTCCTCCCTAAATGGTGCTTGGTGGGGCTGGCTATAGGATCCAATGATTTAATTTTTAAAACTTAATTCAAAATAGTGTACCCATTCAAAGGACTATCTTTGCTTTTCAAAGTCGTACAAGAGTCACAAAGATCTGTCCAAAATTAAAATATTTCTTATGTATGTATCTATGTATGTATGTATGTATGTATGTATTTGGTGAGGAGGAGAAGGTGAAAAAAAATCGTTATCTTTAGAAATATTGTAGGATAAATTCTGATGAAACTGCTTGAGGTTTTCAAATTAAATTATTGACTATGGAAGCTGAGACGGTCGTCTTCTATTCCCCTACTCGCTCCCAAGAGCTCTAATCATATTTCTTCTACTAACTGCCTCAGGAGTCAGAAACAATTTTTCAATTCAAAGTAAAGTCAGACCTGCAAGGAAAAGTCAGACTGAAGACATAGATTGGTGCTGAGCACTGTAGCAAACTATCCAGAACGATCTCATTAATGAGTGACATACAGCTAGAGCAGACAGTAGAAGGGAACAGTAAATGAAGATGTGTCCAGTAAAAGGGTGACCTAGTACAGGAAACAGAATTAGAAGGGGAAATTATCACTGGTCATTAGGCAGCGTTCTAACATCTAGATCCCTGACAACATCTAGCAAGGTACGTCAGGTATTTTTCTTTAGCCCCTCCCAGTGCACAGCCTTCTCCGTCCTGATCTGTGGATTCTGGGAAGCTGATTTGTAGGCACTGAATTCACATGCTCCTTTTCCCTCTAGTTTCTAGCTGGAATCAGCCAGGGGATCTTGCAGGATGGCAGCAGATAGGAGGAGGATGAGATCATCACATGTATTTTCCTGGACTAACTTCCTTTTGATCCACCATAACTTGACTGTGTCCTTCTATTATACAAGGAACCATTGAGGTGGTCTCTCTGGGCTCAGTAACTTAACCCTCCCTAAGATGCTCATTAATAGCCCCAGTTTTAATGGACTGTCTATTACCACATATGTCCCTAAGTGATAAGCAAGGGATGTTCACGAAACTAGAAGAAGAGTGAAAGTCTCTAATGTCCATGAAATGTTTACAAAGGTAATTTAGGACTCCAGTTCTTATGCAATTAATCCAAAAGGAAGAATATCAGGACAGAGACGAAAGAATAGGAGAACTATTAAGAATTCATTGTTTTTTAGAACTGTGTCTAATTTGATGAGCCGGCCAAACAAATCAGGAGCCGATTATTATTCATACTTCAATTTCTTCACAAAATCAGTTATTCAGCTAAGGTTTACTGAGTGGAAATTCTATGCCTGGCTCTACACTAGGTGCTTGAGTCCTGCCCAGGAGAGAGGCAATCAGTTCCCTCCGTCATGGACTCTGCGTAACTAAAGAGTGAGTGAATGGAAGCCGCAGAGGTGGTCTGTGGAGGGCCTTATTTTAAAATATTGGGAAACATTTCCCTAAGTTTGGGGGAAGCCTCTTCCTTTGTTTAAATGGCAAATCATCTGTGAGAAAACTTAAATATTCTGATATTCTTGGATTTCTTTTACCTTCTGCTTCTGCTGTTTCTGACCTCCTTGTCAGGGTAAAAAAAAAAAAAGTGTCAATTTAAATATGTTCCTTTCTGAATCAAACATAATAATGTGTCTGGTTTGTTTATTATCTTATTCCATTTGGTTAGAAATGCTCAAAGGTTAGAGGCTAAAAACACATTG